ACAAGGCAGCAAATCTGTGAAGGAGAGAGGTAAATATACCTATCATGAAACAGTACTTAACATAACAACATACCGTTAATAAAAAAGAAAGTTAGTTAAGGAGCTGCAGTGCCCCATAAACCAAGAGAGAAAGTAAATTGGTGACACAGTGTAGTTGATCATAATGATTCAAATTGAAGAAAATGAATCTGTAACAGTAAAACACATTGGAATGCTCATCCAGGTATACATACATTACCGCGATGTACTACAAGAAAGGAATGGAACGTTTTGTTGAAAATGAGGGACATTTGCCTTGTGTGACCATGGCCTTACTTGCTTCTCTCTCTCTCTCTCTCTCTCTCTCTCAGTTCTTCCTCTCTGCAAATCCTTGCGGCAAGTCTGGGACAGGGTTTTAAAGGCTTTTTATCCTTTCCATTCTTAAAACAATGATCCACGTGTTTATACACCTGAAGTGGAACACACACACCCCACAGCTTCTCCCTTACCTTATGAGAGCCCTGCTGGATCAGGCCAAGGGCCCAGCTAGTCCAGTTTCCTGTATCTCACAGAGGCCCCACTAGATGCCTCTGGGACCACACGAGACAACTAGATACCTGTCTCCTGATACCCCTCCCCTGCATCTGGCATTTTGAGGTCCCTTTTAAGCCTGGAGAGTATACATCCCCATCATGGCTTGTAACCTGACTTTTCCTCCAGAAGTCTCCCCAATCCCCTTTTAAAGGTACAGTATCTAGGCCAGATGCCTTCACCACATCTTGTGGCAAAGGGTTCCACAGACTATCAACACGCTGGGTAAAGAAATGTTTTATTTTGTCTGTTCTCATTCCCCCAGCACTCAGTTTGAGTGGATGTTCCCTGGTTCATAATTTTTCTGAGAGGGGAAAGAGTTTCCCTCTAACCATTTTATCCATCCCCTGCATAATTTTATATGTCTCAATCATGTCCCCCCCTCAGGCACCTTTTCTCTAAAGAGTCCCAAACGCTGTAGCCTTTCCTCAAAAGGGAGATGTCCCAGTCCAGTCATCATTTTAGTCACTCTCTTCTGCACCTTTTCCAGCTCCACTATGTCTTTTTTGAGGTGCAGCAACCAGAACTGTACGCAATACTCCAGGTGCGGCCTTACCATTGTTTTGTACAATGGCATTATAATATTGGCTGTTTTATTTTCGATCCCCTTTTTAATGATACCTAGCATGGAATTGGCCTTCTTTACTACCACTGCACATTGAGTTGACACTTTCATCGAACTGTCCACCAGCACACTAAGATCTCTTTCCTGATCCACCATGGGCAGCTCAGAACCCTTTCAGCATTCACAATTCAATAACATTTTCTTTCTTCAATGAGAAAAGTCAAGCCTAATCGGGACAGATAAATAGCTGCAAAAGCTCTAGAAAGAGGAAGAGAAAACATTGCTCACTTATAATGTGGACATAAAGCAATGCATTGTTAACTAGCAGAAAGCAGCAGAAGAGAACACCAGAGAAATATGAAGTAAGTAGTGACATTCAGTCTGCCAGAGGCTGCATTTTCTGACAATGGGGGCTTTTGTCTTCATGGCAGTCTGTCTGTATTGAAGGGGAAAGATCCTATTCAAGGATACAGACACTGACGGTTAAATGTACAGCTGGTTAATTTGTGTCTGCATATCACAAAAAGAGACCTTGAGAACAAAGAGTCTTGTGGCACCTTAAAGGCAGAAACGTTTATTATAATACACATTTTGTGTGTGTTGCAGAGTATTCATCAGTTGCATGGAGTGTTCTGCTGAGTTACAGGTATACACACTACCTCCCACATGATTGAGGAAGTTGTAAAGAGATTAGAGGCAAAGGAAGCTCAGCATGTTATTAAGAGTTATTTCACCAGGCTGTAGAATAGCAAGAGAAGGAAAAAAAGGGTCATCAACTACCTTACTGAGAAATCAGCTTGACCCTGCTTTGTCTCTCTTGAATTCTTCACAGCAACCCTGTCACGTAGCTGTCCAAATTTTGGTTAAAAACCTCCAGTGAGAGAGCATTCACAAGCTCCTGTTGAACCAGTCTGTTTCACTGTTGAACAACTCCGATGGTCATAAAGTTTTTCCTTGTAATTTGGACCCATTACTTCAAGTGGCCAGAGGATTGGAAAAGACCCTGATGTTGGAAAAGTGTGAAGGCAAGAGGAGAAGGGAACGACAGAGGACAAGATGGTTGGACAGTGTCATCGAAGCTACCAGCATGAATTTGATCAAACTCCGGGAGGCAGTGGAAGACAGGAGGGGCCTGGCGTGCTCTGGTCCATGGGGTCATGAAGAGTCGGACACAACTTAATGACTAAACAACAAAGATTGTTGTACATGAAAAAAATAAAATCTCCCCTGAAAATAAGCCCTAATGCATTTTTGGAACAAAAATTAATATAAGACCCTGTCTTATTTTCGAGGAAACTCAGTAGTGTTTAAGTTAGTTAATAGGCCTACAATCAAAAGTTTTGATTGGGGGCAAGCAGGTGTTTACCCTTCTACAGAATCCAAAATTTATGTATGATGTTAATGTACATACACAGACATTTCGCTGGATAGGTCAGTGAGCTGGGTACCTGGCTGAGGAGCCAGAAGTTAGAGGAGTTTAATTTCTCACTGTGCTTCCTGGGAGAAGAACCTGCCTGTATAGACTTGGGCAAGCTGCACGGCCTCAGGGCACCCCCAGAAGAAAGGAGCAGTAAACCACCTAGAAAATCCTAAAAATGGTCACCATAAATTGGAATCAACCTGACAGCATGTAACCATTATTATTACACACTAGTGGTAATAATAGTAGTGGTGCACATTACGCATGTGAGTTTTGCTAACATACAACTAGGCTAACCCCCCGCCCCTTCCTATTACAGTGGACCCTTGACTTACAGATGGCTTGACTTACAGACTTTTTGAGTTACAGACTTCTCTGGCTGCAAAATTTAGGTTTGACTTGCAGACTGAGATTTGACTTACAGACCAGAAAAACACCAAAATGGAACAAAAACGGCCTGTTACGGGATTAATCGGTTTTCAATGCACTGTAGGTCAATGGAGACTTGACTTACAGACTTTTTGACTTGAGAACCGCCTTCCAATACGGATTAAGTTCTCAAGTCAAGACCCCACTGTAATAACAAAGATGTTATGAAGGAGGCAGATGGGACCAATGGACTTGTCCCTGTTCTACCCTTAATGCAATTCTTATCACTACTGTTGTAGAACAATTGAAAAGTGCAAGGATGAGAAGAAAAGTTGAGCAATGTGCACCAAATTCAGAAATATTTATCTCTGTAGCTGCAGCTCTCTCTGGCCAGCATGGCTAACGGAAGTGTTTGCTGGATAATTCTTGGAGTTGAGTTAAATTTTTTTTCCAGGTTTGCTTGTTAGTATCTGTCCTTGCTAACAAATGATACCATGATGTCTTATTTTTTGAAAAATGGCATGGTAAGTGGCCAGACCAGATAGGTGGGAAATAAATAAATAAATAAATAAATAAATAAATAAATAAATAAACAAACAAATAAATACTTGTGATACAGCAGTCTCCCCATATCTATGGGTGGTACATTCCAAGATCACAGATGCCTAAAACCATGGATAGCAGCGAACTATATACAGTATACAACATATGGGGGGGAGGGTTTGAGGTAAAGGCCACAAGAGGCAAGACAAAAGCCAGAAAGTCTACCCTCTTGTATGATTTTATTCAGGCTGTGGATAACTGAAACTATGGATACCGAATTCATGGATACAAGAGGATTCCTGTATTTGACAGGAACTGATTGTGGTCAAAGAGCTGGTAGTCAGTTGACAATATTTGATGGGCAGATCTTGGGGAAATTATTTTCAGATTACAGCTCCCAGCCTGTCCTACTTAGCACGGGCACTGGACAATGTTGTTTGAGAAATTGGTCAGCATACTAACCCTAGTGGAATTAAACCTAAGATCTGTGTGTAGAATTCTGATACCCCAACACTGAGCTGGGTGCAAAAGGCAGACTATGATGTCACAGTATAGAATCAATGACATCGGCTCAACAGTTGACTCTGTAACTGTCACACTTTTTGTGCAACAGACATTATCTGAGACAACAGATACAGAGACACATCACAGGGAATTAGGAGGCCGGGCAAACCACATACTGTCCAGTCTTGTTCTTATTGTCACTCCCAGTGAGTTAAGCCTATATTCCGTATGGTAAGAATATCTGCCTACGTGAACTATCATTCTGCCTAGCTCTTACATCAGAAAGGTCAGAGAAAATTACAGGGGAAACTCTCCCATACCCCTTCCATGTAAACAGCCAAGTCAGTGACTCCTATCCAAGCTGGGATTGCAGTGCAGAGCAAAGGGGAAGGCAGTTACCATGGCAGGTTTTTGATCCAGACCAAGCATCCTATGCCTATTATTCACTTTGTCCTTTGTCCTTTTGAAATTTGTAAATCGCACTGCATCTCTTTTGACGCAAAATATAGTCTCCCTGCATGGCCACTGACTAAGGTTATTTAACTAGCTCAAAAATTATTTGGGGAGAGGGCTGAGCAATCAAAATTGATGACCACACCAAATTATTAAGGCTGGTTAAAAGGAAAAGGCCAGGGATTCATTACCATATGTAATGCCACAGCATTTCGTTTGTGCTCTTGTTATCTATAGCCTGGGGTTCCTTTATCCATTAACCATTGTCGTTTTTCACAGAACAAAGCTTCAAGGGAATAGAACTGAATATCAAACAGGAGTCATTACTTGACATAAAATACTGTACTGACTCACAAAATTTGCAACTTGTGTCTACTAAGCAATCACAGCCTCTTTATTTTGGGGCGATGAAATATCTATCATGTAGTCTCACTCTTATTTCTGAGGGAGTGGACTTGATCCATGAAAGCTTGCATTAAAATATACCAGCTTGTCTTTAGGGTGCCACAACATTTTTATCTTATTTTATGTTTGTTTTTACTTTTGTCTTGTTTCTTTTCTGATGTGGTTGCACAGACTAACATAGCTGCCATTTTGAAAAGGAAAAGGGATTACAAAGAGCTCCCAAAGGATATCTTCGAACTCTGCACAATGGAGGAACAGGTACTGAAAGTGCAAAGCAATGTACACTGGGGCAAAGAGCCCTAGATTCACACATATGCTTATATCATCTTATATGCCTATAAGATCTAGCTAGTAGCCACCTTGGACTTATGGTGGATAACTCACTGTTATGTTGCGGACTCAGTGTGCAGCTGCTGTGAAAAGGACAAGTACTATATTGGTCAAAATTGCAAAAAGAATTTTAAAAATATAGCAGATAGCATTGTAATAGGTCTAAACCTTGGAAAATACCCAAGGACTATGATTTTAATGAGATTTCTTTTTTTAGTGTAGTGCAGAAAAAATGTATGTGCATATTTACAGCTAATTAAGTGAGATCTGGATAGCCCAATGGTTTAGGAGCCAGAGCTTGGGAATTTGATTCCCCCACCGTGCCTTCTTGACAGGGGCTGGACTAGATGGTCCATAGGGTCCCTGTCCAGCTCTGCAGTTGTAAGATGATGATGATGATGAAATTCCACCACCTTCTCTTCTTGTGTTAGGAAGACAACCCTGAATATGCCTCATCTGGCGCAGACAATGCGACTGACCAAACATCAGCTCCTGATGATCTGACTGAGCCACCATGTACCCCTAACGAAGTGACAGACCCACTGGACATCAGAGATGAGGAGACACATGTAAGGACAAAACCACGGGTGGTGTTGGACAATCAGCATCCTTCCCTGGCCAACAGAGAGGGTGAGATGGCTGCCTGGGGTCAAATAGAAATTCCAAATAAAAAGGAAGGCTGTGACATCTTGGCACCCCAGCTAAGGAAGATGCACCTAAACATGGAGATCATGTTGACCAAATATCGCTACAAAGCTAAGGAAAAGGAGAAGCAGAGGCATGAAGAGAAGGTGGGAGAGATATGCCAGCAGGCCCCCTTGACACAGGTAAAGATTGGTAGGTGGAGGTGGGAAAATTGTGAAAAATAGAAACAATTGGCAACATTTTGTTCTAAGCCTTCTATTGGTTTTACAATCATTCCCATTCATTATGGAATCTGAGTGAAGTAGGGGAAAATCTCTGATACCCATCCACAACCCTCAACAAATTAGAATATCTAGAATCCTTTTGTGGCTGTCATAATTATTAACTGATATATAAAAATTTTACATTGTGCCACAAGGCTCCTCAAATCCCTATTCTGCACCAAAAGGGGGAAAATCTGTTGTTGTAATAAATCACACTAGGTAGTTTAAGAACAATAAGATAATACCTCTTCATTGGGGAAAAGCAGCCTATAAATGAAACAAAAAACAATGCTCAGAGAAGTAGAAGGAAATAGAAAAAGAGGAATATCTAACATGTGGCAGACTGATCCAGTGAATGAATCCTCAGTCTTTAGTTTGCAAGAGCTGAACAAGAGATATTAATGATAGGGCATTTTGGAGATAATCATAGGGTAATTAAATTGTACGCAAGATGTTGATCTGCAACAACAAATTACACAATTTAATAAAGATGAATGGCATGAACAGCATTGTACAGGTATTTTTTTTATCAAAAATGTCATGTGAGAATAAATTATTGTTTCCAAAAGAGCATGGGTATACTGTACATCTTTGTTTTGTGCGCCACTTGTGATTTGTAATAATGTGCAGAATATGACTGGAACATCACTCCATGTTTTCCTTTCTCTCCCCACAGTCTCCTGGAGGAGGTCATCATCTCTTCTTACCTCGGGACACGTATACCTTGTTCCTGTACTGCTTCATCTTCACTCATGTCATCTATATAGTCAGGGAGTTGATCTTCTTTCTCATCAAGGAGCATGAGTTGTATGCCTTTGCTTTTATCCTTCTATGTGTGATTAAAATGTTTTGGAAGTAGTCTTTTCCCCCCATTGTGTGATTCCCCCTAAAAGGGAACACAGCATCTGACTACTTCATAATCATCTTCCTTTTCCCATCCTGAGTGTAGTACCTGCCCAGTAGAGACTTATGGAAACCAAACTCCCCAGCCCCAACAGAACTTGGGTGTATACACAAGTCTTAATAAATTATACATTCTCAACCAGTGTTAGAACTTTTCTTGACTACTGAATACCGGTACCTTTAGAGGTCTCATACCTACATGCACCATTTTCCGGAATATTCACAAACTGCCTCATGGAGTTCTCAAACAATACAGCTGGACACTATAGCTTGGATTCATTTTAATCAAACCAACAAAGTAATGGGTCAAGGGACCTGCTCTGCACACAACTGAGTCTGAATCCAGTACCTTGCAAATTTAACAAAAGCACAACCAGGGGTGAGGGGAGAGACATAACTTCACAGTACTGATACTCTGGGCTGCAGAGAGCAGATGGATTTCCCTCTTCCACATGCTTACATTTTTATCTTTCCTTCCATGTATCCAAAGGGGATGGGGTAGTGTTGGTAATATTGTACCTACATCAACCTGCAGCTGGCACAGGTAAAGAAGCCAAGAGAGTGGTGACTCCTGGTGGAATAGAGCCGCCTTGAATTAGGATACTCTTTTCTTGTATCTTTATGAGAACATGAATCTGGTTTGTAATCCAGTGTAACTGGAGGTCATTAGGTTGGGGGGGGAGAGAAAAGAGAGAGAGATTGGGCTGGTGTATCTAATTTTCTTCTTTGACACTCGGAAGTAATGCGTCCCTTTCCCTTCCCGAAGGCCCAATGCCTTTCGCAATTTGTGCAATCCACGGCAACACAACAGGCATCCAGCGGACAGTAACGGGGTATACTTGTTGAATCTCTGCCTGTCACAACACCGCAGCGGTCAGCTCGTTGCAATGATTGCGCGTCTCACTAATGTGCCACCAATTGTACTACTGTATTACCAATTTATTGTTATTATGGTTGTCTTTGGTTTGAGTCCGGTTTCTGTAACGGCATGGAAGGGGGGGGAGAGATTCCTGTTTGTTATACCGTAGAAGCAGGTCTGGGCCTCGCGACCCCCCACCCAAGAGAACGCGGGGTGTCCGAATGAGGGCGCCCTTTGCTGCCGCGCCTCAGGCGGCAAGACGTCTTGGGAGAGACCCCTCCCAGCGCCTCAGCAAATGTGCTACAGAGAAAGCGCAAAAAAAGGAAGACGGCAACCACAACCTCCCCACCCACCCCCCTTGTTGTGTAGGGGAGGATTCCCGACACCACAAAGGCCTCCGGGAGCCCCTGGGAGCGAAGACGTGACACGTGCCGCGCTTGTGCCGGGGCTTCGGCCTCAGTACGTGCCGCGCCGGCCTTCCGCTTCCTCAGGCGTCGCTCGTACGTGAGCCGAGGCAGCTGTTCAGGCCGTGCGGCTGCCCATGAATTATTGACTGGGTTAATGAGGCCTGACCACGAGGTGCTAATTCAGACACACACGCCAATCACACAAGATGCCGAGCCGTGTTTCTGGGCGGGAGGCGCCCCGGCGCTGACTCAGCCGCGTTGCATTTTTTTCCACAGACTTTCCTAGTCTTTCCTCGGCACGACAAGAAAATGCCTCCACACTCACACGTTTTTTGAGGTGGTTTGGCTGTTGCAGGAAAGTAAGGGCTTTGCACTCCTCCCCACAACCCGCACCCCAGACATGAGAAGACAGAGTGAGGCTGGTGTCTCAGCTTTTCTATGTCATGAGGGAGCGGTTAAGAATTTAATTTTGTTATTGTGCATCGTCACGTTTGATCCTCAAAAGGTCTTGTAGTTTAACAACCCTACTCCAGTCTTGCAAGCTCAAGGCGCTGTGGCTTCTTTGAGCCAAGCCATCGCGTATAATTTCATTTTACTGATTTTTAACTGTCAAAAAGAGGAGGTTATGGGACTTTATGCCTCCTGTGTGGAAAAAAAACCTATCTTGCTCTGTACTGTGCACCTTAATCTGGGAGGATGAGGGCCAGTGAGCCGTTTGTTGCTTTGTTTATTTAAAATATTTCCCCACCTTTTTCCTTGAAAAGGACCCAAGGCGGCTTACAACAATGAAAGACAATACTTAAAGTTGAAAACAATGAATATACAACAGCAGTTACTATCAAAGTGACTTGGCCTGGCCCTGAAGCATACGGTATGTATACCACAGTGGCAGCTTATGAGCCATAAGAAAATACAAAATGCATCACCAAAAGAAAAAAAAACAGGTACTTAATTTATACCCATAAGCAGTGTGGTTTAGTGCTCAGAATGTTGGAGAAAGTATTTTGAAATCCAGGATCATCTCTGTGATGAATCGGCACTTTCTCAATTTGTGATTATCACATTAAAATACAGTACATTAAAAAATTCAGGGCACAACCCTTTGCCTTGATTCCATATACCTACCCTTAAAAATGACCATTTAAAGAACCAGTGTAGATAGTCTTTAGACTTCATAGTTACAGAGATGTGAGGAAAAATGAGACCAGCAGTATTTTGTTCTGTTGCTCGGAGAGAAGTAAGCCTGACAAGGCTCTGGAGATTAGTATGCTTTGTCAATTTATTGCAGCTGGCTGGATAGCTCAGTGGCTTAAGTATTTGGCTGTGGAGCCAGAGGTTAGGGGTTCAAGTTTATTACCAAGATGCTTCAGTCACTTTTTCCAGGAGTTCAGCTTTCAAGATGTTACACGACCCTGTACAATCATGATATAAAACGAGTACTGTAAATCAACTCGAACCAAGTACTGTAGAGTAATAGAAAGGGAGTTGAACAAACAAAACCATCTTGGGGTGTGGTAAGATGAGGCTATGTCCTGTAATTTGGTCTGCTTTGGGGACGGGCTGGTCTGCTCCTTTTTTCCAGTGACCACATGCTGTATAGGCATAGTTTAGGCCAGGGGTGGGCAATTAATTTCTATAGGGGGGCCACATGAAAAATCTGAACTGTGTTCGGGGGCCGAACCAACTTTACTTAAAAATAAAATGAAAGAGTGATGTTATGATTGTTTTTGTTTTAAACTTGTTAATCTTCCCAAATACTAAAGAGTTTTTTTGCGGTATGTTAAAGATAAGCAACTGATCAACTTCAGACAAAAAGCTATAAATGGTTTTGATGTTCAAAACTGTCCGCGGGCTGGCCAGGAGTGGTTCGCAGGCCATATGTGGCCCCTCGGGCCACACTTTGCCCAGGTCTGGTTTAGGCAATCATGAACCAGCTGTCCCTTATCTATGCCCACCCACACCTTTTTGAGTCCCTATCAGGGGCTACCCTTTTTAGTGCAGATAGAGTTGTTCCATTTTGATTCAGTTCTGACATGTTTGATCACTTGGATCAGACCAAAGGAGATGGCTGCTATCCTTTTGCTTAAGTTGCTTCACAATCTAACTAGTTATTAGGAAATTTAAGGCTCCTTACCACTCCTTCACAGAGGGGGGGAAAAGAAAAGGATGCAAAGGTTGGTTTAAAAAAATCCCTTGTATCTAGCACTGAATTTGTTGATTGGCAAGTCAGCCCAGTGCTATGCCACATAGAAATATATTTTAAAAAAACCTTACCTTTCTCCTACTCTCCCACAGAGGGGGACACAGAAGGGAACAAGGGAATAGGGTGTTCTTTTCCCCTTTTCTTTCCTCCACCCCTTTTTTCCCTTTAAAGGGAGGAACAGGCTAAGTAGGGTTGCCTGAGATATGATATGGATTCTGATCAGCCCAAATGGTATAGTCCTCCTCAAAGTAACCTGATTTAGCTTGATCCAGCCTTAATTGTGGGCAGAAGCTATATAGTAAGGGGGCAAACTTAAACATTTGTGGAAGGGAGTCCCACTATGCAGAGGCCAGGACACAAGGGAATAGACCCTGGTCTTTGTTTTCTGAAATTTATTTGTTCTAATAGCACAGTCTGTGTATATCATTATTTTGTTTATAAACTGCTCTAGATTTAAGGGCAAAAATCATAGAATAATAGAATCGTTGTGCTGGAAGCTATGGTTTTTCTAGTAGTGATGTATGGAAGTGAGAGCTGGACCATAAAGAAGGCTGACTGCTGAAGAATTTATACTTTTGAATTGTGGTGCTGGAGGAGATTCTTGAGAATCCCCTGGATTGCAGAGAGAACAAACCTATCAATTTTGAAGGAAATCAACCCCGAGTGCTCACTGGAAGGACAGATCCTGAAGCTGAGGCTTCAATACTTTGGCCATCTCATGAGAAGAGAAGACTCCCTGGAAAAGACTCTGATGTTTGGAAATTGTGAGAGCAAGAGGAGAAGGGGACGACAGAGGATGAGATGGTTGGACAGTGTCACCAAAGTTACCAACATGAATTTGACCCAACTCCGGGAGGCAGTGGAAGACAGGTGGGCCTGGCGTGCTCTGATCCAAGAGGTCACGAAGAGTCGGACACGACTTAACGACTAAACAACAACAAAGTGTTGGAAGGGACCTTGGAAGTCTTCTAGTCCAACCCCCTGCCCAAGGCAGGATACCTTATACCATCCCCAACAGATGGCTGCCCAATCTTTTCTTGAAAACCAACAGCGATGGGGCACCCACAACACTGGGAGGCAAGCTGTTCCACTGCTTAATGGTTCCCACCAATAGAAAATTCCTCCTTATTTCCAGGTTGGATCTCTCTCTGATAAGTTTCCACCCATTGGTTCTTGTCCTATCCTCAGATACAATGGAGAATAATTCAATACCCTCTTCCCTGTGACAACCCTTCCGACATTGGAAGACTGCTATCATGACTCCCCCCCAGTCTTCTCTTTATTAAGCTAAACATACCTAGATCTTTTAGTCGTTCATAGAATTTAGCCTCCAGTCCCCTTATAATCTTTGTTGCTCTTATCTGCACCCGTTCCAGGGCCTTAGCATCTTTTTTGTATTGTGGTGATCAGAACAGGACATAGCATTCCAAATGCAGCCTCACCAGAATGGTATAGAGTAGTACTATCATTTCTTGTGATCTTGATGCTATCCCCCTGTTGATGCAGCCTAGGATTGTGTTGGTTTTCTTGGCAGCTGCAGCACACTGCTGACTCATACTTAGGCAGTGGTCCACCAGGACACCTAAATCCCTCTCACAGGTATTGTTATTTATTTATTTCTTTATTTATTAGATTTATATACTGCCCATCTAGAATGTGTCTACTCTGGG